AGATACCTGGGGATTTAAGTCAGTTTAGGAGAATGTTTCATTATTGTATGATAAATTGTGACACTGGAGATGCCTGAACTAATCAGAAGCCAGATATTTAATGTACAATGGATTATTTTAGTTTATTTGTGTACTATAGTCATATTAAAAAAGCTATAATGCAATCGAAGGGTTATTTTAAAATATTTCTTTGGTTCAGTGCTGGGTTTGGAGAATAAAAGATATAAATACCAAGAACAAATGCATTTGGATATTAATTGTAAAAAGGCATTTTTAGTATTGTTCATTTCTCCACCGAGGATAGAATTTTCAAAAGCACCTATGGACAGTTAGGAGAATAACTTCCATTAGCACGGAAGATTAGATATGTAATTGATGTGATTTGTGAGAATGAGGGGAATTGTTCCTTCTGTGGATTCCAAAAGAACCCGTCATTAGGGACTGATGGAATGTTGGCTAGGCAAACCAGGATATTTGTAACAAAATACAGGACTATGTAGCACTTTAAAGACTAACAAGATGGTTTATTAGATGATGAGCTTTCGTGGGCCAGACCCAATTCCTCAGATCAAATAGTGGAAGAAAATAGTCACAGCCATATATATATACCAAAGGATACAATTAATACAAATACAATTAATTTGTGTGTGTGTAAGCCTACACATTGGTATGCAGCAGCCACAGGGCCATATAATCCTTCTGAAACTCTGTCATAGTGATTGGGGGACATGGTTTCTCAAATTGAGAGTCAAGTCAAAGGGAAGAAGTTGAAGGGGGTGAGTAACTTTGTCAGAACTCCTAATCTTTGGCCATCTGTTGTTTATCAATAAAGTTTCAGGTAGTTCAGACAAATTCCTGAATAATTTATTATGTATCTTCCTTTCCCTTTGTCCAATCAAGTGACGTGATTGATTATTCTCTCAGTGTGCTCAGTATTATATATTTATATTACGCAGTCTTCATTTTTGTTATGGCTTTCACAAAAACATGGATTCTGTGCTTTTCATGACTTTCACAGAATTTCTGACTCTGAATCATTGGCACTTTGGGATTTCTGCATATGGGAAGTAGATGCAGTGGGTGAACTATTGAGCTAGTTTCATTGGGAAACTTTAATTCAGTTGAGTCAAACTTTGAATTGCATTGGGAATAGGAGCTCTTCAGCAACATTGTGAAGCAGAAACTATCAGACCACTGAAATCTCACTGAGAGCTTGAATTCCCACAGAGGTGATGAAGATTCTTCTTCACTTTAGTTTGAAAACAGCAAAAAACTAATACTGGTTCAATTCTATTTCTTGTTACCTTAGCATAAGTATAATTCTTTGTTTATTTTTTTTCTCTAGCACAACCCCGTGGCATAGATAAGCATTGCACCCATTTTGTAAGCAAGTAAGCTGTGTCACATGTAGGCTGTAGTGATTATCTGTCCATAGTATACCTTTTTGTCAATGGCTTAGTGAGGGAAGTCTCTCTCTATACCTATAATATTTGCAAGAGAAATACAGAAAATGACTGATTGGAAACAAATACTCTGAGGAATGTCCCTTTGCATGTTCTACTTTAGGGGTCTTGATGCCCTCCACTTGTTATCAGAGATTTGTGGTAGCAGCCCCAGGTTGGGATGCACATGTGCTGTTGCTGTCTCGTGCCATTCTGAGCAATTACATAGCAGTGCACAGCCAACCATCTTTCAGTTCCTTCTCTAATGCTTTTGGCTTGAGTCAGAGAGAACAGCAGCACCCTCTTTTACCTCAGATACAATAATAGATCATAGTTGTAACTTGATACTATTAGCTACCCTATCCTCCCATCCTCTTCTCATTTTTTTAGGTTCACTAAAAAAGAAAATTCTTTACCTTCCACTATCTCTATCTCTATGGCAGGCAGATAGCTTTAGCCTCTGGCAGGGTTTACTCATTTTTGTTTCTGTAAGAGACCGGCTCTCTGACATACCTGGCTCACTTGATTTTAAATGCAGTCTGACTAGCAGACACTTCATACCAACCTCTGACAGGCACTCTTGGTGTGTCTGTCGCCTTGACGAGACACACATTACTCAAAGGTGCCCTCGCTGCAGAAATCTGACAGCCAGGGCAAGAAAAGCCAGGAATCTCAAGTGTAAGCTCCCCATGATGGAAAAATCTGTCAGGTCAACCTAGAACCCGGGCTCCAGGACACCTCCAGGCCAATGGTCACCAACAGCAGCCTCTGACGGGTTCTGCTCCAACAACAGCTAGCAAGGAATCTGTTCCAAGAAATACTACCAAAAATGATAAACTTAAAAAACAACAAATAGACTGGTAGCACTTTAAATACAACAAAACACGTAGATGGTATCATGAGCTTTTGTGGGCACATCCCACTTGTTCAGATGACCAGAGTTTTGGATGTCCAGAACCAAAAATAAATAAGAAAGGGGGCGGGAGGGAGAGGAAAAAAAATGGGAGCGGGGGGAAAAAAAGAGTCAGTGGGTATATAAATATCAAAGGGAAAGCCGAGCTAGCAATTAGAGAGGAAGAGTACTAACACCAGATTCTACACAGACAAAGAACCATTGGTACCTTCATTGTTTGTTTGATTGATAATGTCCCAGCCATCCGGTATCTCGATTCAGACCATTGGTATCAGAATTAAACTTGAGAATGAATTGTTGTTCCAACCCTTCCTTGTGTATTTCATTTGTGGAATTGGTCTGTAACAAAACAGCAACTCGAAGATCTTTTCATGAATGACCAGGCAGATTGAAGTGTTCACCCACAGGTTTCTGTATGTTCCATTTACGGATATGATTTGTGTCCATTGATTCTTTCCCGTAGGGACTGTCCAGTTTGTCCAGTATATATTGCAGTGGGGCATTGATGGCATTTGATGACATAGATCACATTACTGAGCCTCTGATTTGGTGGCGTATGTGGTTGGCTCCAGTGATAAATTTGATTGTATAGGTATGTGGGCAGAGTTGGCACTGGGGCTGATTGCAGGGCAGGGTTCCTGGATGCTTCTGATGTAGCTGTGTAGCATGGTTACTGGAAATAATTTGTTTCCGGTTGGGGGATTGTCTGTAAGCAAGAATAGGCCTTTCCTCCAAGGCCTCTGAGAGTGAGGGATCATTTTCCAAGATAGGTTGGAAGGAGGAGTTGGAGGGGTTTAAGTTGTGGACTGTAGGTAATGACAAGTGGAATTCTGTTTTTTTTTCTCTTTTGGGTCCGTCTTGAAGTACTTCATAGCTGGGTATTTTTTGGCCCGTTCAATCTGTTTTTGCATTTCTCCAGGTGGGTATTTCAGTTTTAGGAATGCTCTATATAGATCCTGTAGGTCAGTGGCCACCAACCAGTAGATCGGGATCTACTGGTAGATCTTGGAGCCTCTGACAGGTGATCCTGATGGGTTTGACCAAGAGGCTGTGCCAGCATTTCAGCTGCTCCTTACCCCCACTGCTGCGCATCTCCTACCCTTTGCCTTGGAGCTGCCCCTCCCCCTGAGAGTCTCCTGCTCTCTGTGCAGGGCAGGGGAGGGAAAAAAGGGGTGCTGATGTCAGGGTTCCCCCTCTCCCATTCTGTATCCTTTCTCCACGGGGCAGAGAGGGGGCACAACAAGACTAGGGATGGAGTTTGCTGGCTGCTTTAGGGAGTGGTTCAGGGCTAGGGCATGCGTGAGCCTGCCTTAACCCCACTGCATCACCACCCAGGAGCCACCAGCAGTGCCCAAATGGAGCCCACATCCCAAACTCCTACCCCAGTCTTGAACCCCTTCCTGTACCCAAGCCCTTATCCTAGCTCTGAGTACCCCTGCATTCAAATATCCTCCCAAAGCCTGCACCTAGAACCCCCTCCTACGTCCACCTGCTTGCCCCAAGAGCAGCTCAGAGCCATTCTCATACTATAGATCCATTAATCCAAGACCAAAGCCTGCGCCCCCAACCCTCTGTCCCAGGCTGATGAAAGTGAGTGAGGATAGGCAAGAGAGGGAGGACAGAGGGAGCAGGGGTGGTGCCTTGGAGAAGGGGTAGGACGGAAGCGGGGCAAGGGTATTTATATATGAGGTAGATCTTGGATTGCACTTAAATTCAAAAAGTGATCTCATGCTTAAAAAGTTTGGAGACCACTGCTGTAGGTGTTTGTCTCTGTCTGTGGGATCGGAGCAAATCCAGTTGTATTTTAGGGCTTGGCTGTATACAATAGATTGAGAAATGTGTCTGGGATGGAAGCTGGAGGCATGAAGGTAAGTGTAGTGGTTGGTAGGTTTTCGGTATAGGGTGATGGAAATTTGTCCATCATTTAATTGTACAGTAGTGTCAAGGAAGTGGATTTCTCACGTGGACTGATTCAGGCTGAGATTAATGGTGGGATGGAACGTCCCCCCTCCAAGAATTGCCTAAGAAAAAGCAATCTGCATCTGAAAAAATTTGCCCTGGTACGAATGGCACTGAGAGTGCTGGACTACTAGGCAGCAGAAACATCTGGTACTGAGAGTTCGTGAAGCACTAACAACCCTATGTGGCAAACTCAAATTGAGTTTCACAGAGTAAGTTCTATCTTTCAGCTTGGCACCCGCAGAGCTGAAGAAAACCTTGGTAATGAGCAGTGCAATGGCGCCACCTGCTGTGCCTATGCCACACAGCTCTAAATCCTCTGCCCTGCGGCCATCTCTGGCACAGAGCATTACAGTTTTGCAACAATTGATCAGTACGGGTCTACCAAATTCATGGCTATGAAAAATGCATCACAGACTTATGTCTCTCATAAGTTGGATCTTAAAAGGATTAGATTTGCTAATGAAAGGAAATTATTATGCAGTAATTAAAGGAATTAAACTTTCATATTGTTAAGGAAACAGTAGCTAAGCTCCCAATTCAGTGGGGCCAGAATTTCTCCCAGATGTATGCATAGGGCACCTGAACACAGGCATGTGCATAAAGAGATTGTGTAGACAGATTTTAGTTTCTCCATGCAGTGAGCCCCCAAGTCTCTCCCCTTGAGAAGAATACTGTATAAAAACCTGAGTTTTCCCTTGGTTTATCTGCCATTCCATATCATCTCTTACAAGTTTTTCCTTCAGGAGATGTGATCTGGGTTAAGAGGGAAAAGATGAAGGCTTGAGTTCTTCCAGTGGGAAAGTGGCAGGACGCCAGCAGTAGCTAATCACTGGGGGAAGATGAAGTTGTTATTGGTTAACAAATGGCATAAAAGGACATAAAACATTCAAACAGAGGGCATGGGATTTATAGATTCAAGAAACAATTACAGCTACCACTTGGCAGGCAGAGGTGAATTTGTAGATGGATGGCCTGCAACCTGTCCACTTGCTACTGCAGAAATTCCTCAACCTGCTCACTGAAAATATACCTGTGTTTTGCTTTTTTGCTTTTTTTTGTTAGTCTGCTTCTCCTAGGTTATATGGGGTTTGAATAATAACCAAAAAAACCATGTAAGAATTTTTTCTTTTCATCTCTAAGTTCTGTTACAGTATCACAAGTGCTGGTTAGAAATGTGAACATTAAAGAGAAATTACATATTTTCATTTACATGGTTATTTTGTCAAAAATGCATTAAGTTTGCTAGGATGTTGCCACAAAGACTTACTGGTATAAAAATGTCATTGATGTGTCATTGAGGATAAAAATCCATAAATAATGTAGCCATGGTACTTTATTTCCAAAGTAAGTACCATGTCTAAGAAAAATTGACACTCAGCAGTTTAATAATATACTAAATTCATTATTTCCAATAATATGGTGATATACTGATGAACAGATTGGCTTGTAGGGTAGTAACCCATTCAGTGATCAAAATTGAAGCTTTTGTGTGAGAAAGTTACGAGAGAAATTTTGAGGCAAAGAGCTTACAATCATTATTATATTACCTTATTTTCCTTTTGTCTTTGTCACTCCCTTCTGTCACTCTCCTTTTTGTTACTTAGTACCTTTTTTCTATTCAGGTTAGGCTGCAAACCTACAGGGGAAATAGTTCTATTTAATAGTATCTTATGTTTTTATTTCTTAATGAATGGCAGAGATCCTTCATTCATGCTGAGTGAGGGAGACTAAAGTCTCATAATAGAGCACTTTTATTATCATAGCCAAATTAGCCTGTCAGAAATGGGTGCAACAGAAATGGTGCTGAACACGATTTAACTGCAAGCGTAGACAAGGAATAGAGTTCAGAATCTGCGCATAATCTCTGGCTATAACCTACCTCACTTTCTGAACTGAGGGTGAAAAGGCATAGTCCTTTAAGCATTTGCTTCTAAACTGTGTTCAACACCAGTTTAGTTTCACTTGTTGGTGACACCTGTTGTCAGCAACAGGACATTTGCTAATATAGACAAGTTTTTAGGCAAGGACCAGCACTACTGTTCTTGCATAGTTTTGATTGTTGATAGTCCTTTGGACCTGTGTTGAACAAAGAAAGAAGACACTGTTCATCAGAGCGCCAACTTGTTTTTCCCTATATTCACTCTAATCCTTACTTTAAATATCATTTGCCAATAGTAACCAGTATTAGCTAACTGTATTTTTATGTTCCAAAGGCATCAGATAAATAAGGGAGGCCTTTGGCATGTAATTAAATCTAAACAGACTTTGTCTTAAATTTCAGTAGCCCACATTTTAACATCCCTAGTAGGGATGTAAAGGGGTAACTAGTTAACAGGTTACCCCAGTAAGCATGCTAGTAAGGCAATGCTTACTAGGGTAATTGGTTATATCCCAGTACCTTCCCTTGCAACAGACCCCGTTGCCAGCTTTGTCCACATATTCATTCTGCTGATACCATTATTGGACCTAACCAAGTGAGTTATAAGATCAAGAACACATATTCCTGCGCATCCAGAAATATAATCTATGCTATCATGTGCCGAAAGTGTCCGTCTGCTATGTACATTGGACAAACGTCTCAGACACTTCGCCAAAGGATTAATGCCCACAAAACAGATATCAGACAAGATCACAAAGAGAAAACAGTTTCTTGCCATTTTAACCAGAAAGGACACTCTCTCAATGACTTGACCACCTGCATTCTGCTACAAAGACCTTTTACATCTGCACTTGAAAGGGAATCCTCTGAACTGTCATTCATGTTAAAATTCGACACTTGCCAACAAGGACTTAACAAACATTTGAACTATCTCACCCATTACCAAGACAGTTTCCCCAATTATCACCTCTAATACCATTAACTCACAAACATCCCACTCTCCCTACCTCTAATATCATCAATTCACAGACACTTACCTTCCTTCCTTCCCCCCCCCCGCATCCCCCTCCTGTTCTGCAATGTGATTTGTCCTTTTCATATTTGTTCATTTTTTTAATTGTATCCTTTGGTATATATGGTTGTGACTACTTTCTTCCACTATTTGATCTGAGGAAGTGGGTCTGGCCCACGAAAGCTCATCATCTAATAAACCATCTTGTTAGTCTTTAAAGTGCTACATTGTCCTGCATTTTGCTTCAACTACCCCAGACTAACACAGCTACATTTCTATCACTGGTTATATCCTTGCTGTGTGGCCCCCTGATGTTGCCAATACGCTAGCCTGGTCTCTGTAGATACATGTATAGCTGTTCTATTTTAAATATAATTCCTGTGTGGATAAGTGGAGATTTTTAGCATCTAGAATTGTCCAAGTGAGTCTGGTTGGAAAGGGTGTTTTTTCCTTAAAAAAAAAAAGAAAAGAAAAAATAAATACTGTATATAGGAGAAAATGTTCAAGAACCATTCATCTCGCTGAATGTGACCCCTGTAATGCCACCAGTGACAGCAAGACTTATGGTGATAGCTTGGGCAAGCAGTAGCTGTGCACAGGGCTGCTTTAACTTTTGCACCTATTCAATTTTTCAAAGATTTAAAAACATTTTAGACAAGATATT